CCTTACAAACGAATGCACTAATTAAATTTAGATTAAGTGCATACACTTTAACGCGAGGAATAATGATCAAGAATGGACTTGAATTTCTGACTAGTAATTCCTGAACCTTTAGCCTCAAGAGGCAAATTATTCCAGGCCGAAGAGGCTGTATAGCTTATGCTTTTCTTCAAAAAATTTGTACTTGGTTTGTCAAGGGTGAAATCTCGATTGTTGCTACGGAGGTTATACCGAGAGTTTGTTTTAATATCAAACATATTCATCATACTAATTGGCAGTTCATTATTCCTTACTTTATGCATAAAAAATAGTTTTTTGTGCTTAAGGCGTTCTTTCAAGGGTTGCCAATGTAGTTCTTTTAAAACATCGCGTGATCTTGTTTCGTATGTTCTGCCAGTGATTACACGTGCCGCTCTGTTTTGCAGTTTTTGAAGTTTGTCAATTAAATAATCACTACAATTATCCCAAACAAGGCTGCAGTAGTCGAAATGTGGTGATATAATGGCATTATATACTTTTTTCAATGTTGTTTTAGGAATTATTTTTTTCATTCGCCGTAACATGCCGATACCTTTTGAGATTTTAGTCTGTATGTTTTCGATTTGCCTTTCCCAAGTAAGATTCTCATCTATAACAACGCCTAGAATTTTAGAATAGCTTACTCGTTTAATTGTTGTTTCGCCTACGTGGATTTCCGGCTCATTTAATACTTTAGATAATCTTTGTCTAGACCCAATTACCATATATTCGGTCTTTTCTTTATTGAGAGTAAGCTTATTAGCCAGCAACCATTGGTGTATGCTGTCTAAGTCATGGTTTAGTTGTTCCTGAATTTCTGCCGCTGATGAGCCATGTGTAGAAATATTTGTATCATCGGCAAACATGCTAGCAGCCGATGAAGACAAGCAATTTGGAAGATCGTTTATATATAATAAAAACAATAATGGGCCAAGATTTGAGCCCTGTGGCACACCACATTTAACGATTCTTTTGTTAGATAATGTTTGGTTAACTTTACACATTTGTACTCTATCAGAGAGATAGGACTGGAACCATTGAAATAAATAGTGATAAACAATAGTGATAAACAAGTGAGCTTATATTCCAGTGGGCTTATATTCGGGGGAGGGGGCTTATATTTGGAATGAGGTGAGCGTTAGCACATATGGTGGGCTTATACACGAGGGGCTTATATTCGGGGGGGGGCTTATTAGTCGGAGGTTTATGGTATCTACTGCGCATCATAAATTATATGATTATTGCACAAAATATAAGTTAATTTTCCCATAACGTGAGATGAAATGTTCCAACCTCGTCCCCATGGTCTTTAAAGGTTGCAAAGATTATGTATAAAATCCTTTACCAGATCCCAATTTCGCAAAATATAAGATGGGCAACATGAAACACACTCCGAATATTAACATCGAGTTATTTAAACAAGACAACAAAATTGAAGGTAATATTTCAACTGTATATCACAAAGCCCATTGTCAACACGCTTGTAATAGTTAACAATCTTTCGTTGGTAGTGATGCAACTTCCTGAGCGAATGCCCTTCTTCTAGACTTAATAACTAATAGATAAGCCTGGATCAAACGAGGATGACAATGCAGGAGAGTTGGTAGTCGCGCGACCTTGGTTAGCTGTTCTTAATGCTTTCCAAACACTGTTACGTATTCTATTTAAGTAAAAATACAGTTAGAACACTCATCAAATTTTTATCATTTTGTTAATCCGGAGCTTGAAATGTACCCCATGAAACTGCGTGATTGCCAAACCCTCATCAATTCTCATCCTCGAATTTTGTTGTCTTAATTGTTTAAATGGCTCGAATCTAAGTTATTTACAAGATGTTAATATTCGCGGAGTGTACGGTTTCATTTGTAATATGTATTATAAAGGAAGTTACTTAATCTTTCAACGATGGTGGTATTACACATGGACCTACTTTTCCACGTGAAAAAGCTCTAGCCGCATTTTGTGAGCCAAGCGTTATGTAATCTACTGCATTGTCGAAAGTAGACGGTCCAGGATAAAGCCTGTAGTCAGCGTCTTGCAAGAGAAAGAAATCGAGAAACATTGATAAATGTCCTGCATCTTCATTTCCTTTGGTTACATGTCCAACATGTTCAATAGCACCAGTAATGCATCTCACTTTATCGCCATATTTCTGTTTAGCAAATGTTTTCATCTTTTCAGAATCAGCGGCCAAGAACCAAATTACCTTATCCGTTTTATACTTCTTCTCAATTTCCTTCTGGATTTGCAAGGCACACTCAAAACCTGCTTCAATATCTTTTGTATTTTTAAATCTGGTATCTTGCCTATTGTGGTGAAACACCGAATCTCCTTGACGAATATGTATACCTAGAACAATATTTTGGTTGAAACCTAATTTTTCTTTCCATTCATCCAAACGTTTCTGCAAGAAATCAGATTTCTTAAACAAGTAATAAAAGGTACATCCCATCATCTGACGAAGATTAGGCCAAACAGGTAAGTCATACTTGAGAAGATTTGCAAGATATTGGTTTTTGTTTCCTTCGTATAACACATCGTATTCCACTGAGTAATTTAGCATTTGTTCGAATATTTTTGGATCGTCTTTTATATCATTTATCTTAACATTGTATCGACGTCTAACAGTTAATTGTGTCTCATTCACTTTGTAGTTCCATTTTATGTATCGAGGTGCTAAAAACCTATCCAAAGGTGAATTAGGAATGTCGCAATATACAACGAATGCTCGCTTTGCGACAACTGCAAAATGAAAGGAGTTTATTAAATCTCTGAGTCGATTTCCCCAGCCCCCTCCTGGACATACGACTATATAAAACTTCTTCTTGTTCGTTTCTATCAAATGCTGATGAAGCTTGGTGTAATTTTCTTGCCATGAATTCTTGCACATATCTTTGTGGCCTTTTTCATAATCAGTTGTATTTCGTGGTCTACTTTCTATTATTTTGGTGTTCGTCAAACTGTTTTTATTTTGAATAAGTTCTTTGTTTTCATTTTCTGGCACAGTGTCATTCTCAATCAGCACATGCACTGGTTTCGGTAACCTGAACTTTGTAGAATTCTTTTCTGTTATCATGAAGTAATTAGTCTCAATTATACCTAAACCAAGAAAAAATCAGACGTTAACGTTCAATTTAACATAGCTACGTTTTCCCCCAAATGTTTCAAAAGTTTATTATTGAAATTCAGAAACCGGTTTGTAAACAATGTTTCTGATTGGTCTCTGAAATGAAAGAAGCCAATCAAATACAATGTTTACAAACCGGTAACGCAGCAAAGTTCCGAATCAAGTTTGCAACATTTAATTTAGAAAATATGATAATTCTTTTCTGCATGAGAATGTAAAATTTAACGCCAATTTTTGTTCTTGCGGTAATATATTCAGGAAATGATCGCGCAAAATCTCGTGAATACTGTACATACTTCGTGAAAAAGTGTGTTGCCTTTCCTGGCAAGTCTCGTAAATTGAGCCCCAAAGTTGTGGAAAATGCCATGCTTATCATGTGCTGATTGGATTTGGAACTTAATTCAAATGTTATGTTCGATGAAGACAATTGTGTTCAATACATTCGCTTAGTGACGTCGATTTAAATGGCAAATTGATCATCTAAGGGCCTGTTTAAATGGAAGCGAGTTACCCGGCAAGGCGAGTTACTCAGCAAAGGCGAGATCCCGGCTATTATAGATTGAAACTTATAGTAATCCCGGGTGATTGTTTACATGATGCAGCCGAGTAACTTGTCTTGGCGAGTTCCCGGCAGAAAGAGGCGGGATCTCGCCTAGGCGGGATGAATATTTTCCATGTAAACACTTTGCCCGGGTAACTCGGACGCCCAAGATAGAATGTATGTGCTTTGCTTTTGAAATAGAATAGCTCAAAAATACATACGAATCGATAGATACGTTTTCCTGAATTGCTTGGCGCTTATTCTTGTATTTTGACGACATTTTGTAGTATTTTTTAACGTTTCAAACACTTAAGAGGCAATCTCCACTAAAACCGAGCACAATCGAGAATACGTGGCCGATGAGGAAAAGTAAAAAATCTTTTTTTTTTCCAGTGATACTCTAATGTGTACTCAGAAACGTGGTTGGGTTTGTTTTCTGAAATATTATTTTAAACACCGAAAATTATCAAAACCTCACACACACCCGAGATTCGCGAAATTAGCAAAAAAAATTGTGAGCCACGGCCTCTCGAAAATTTCGTTTTTCTCAATTGGCGTGTGATGAAACCTCACCTTTCGTTTTTAAACGTCTTTATAAGATGCTTATAAAGAACGTGGGTCCAATTTGAAATTTTTGAAATGATTTTTCAATGTCAAGACAAGCGTGTAAAAATCGTCTTTTTTTGCGATCCAAAAAATTCTAAATTGTTACACTTTTTGAAAATTAATTTTCCGTATCCGGAAAAACTCCAATTTCCTTGAAATTTACTGAATTTAAAGAGAAACTGTTGCTCTAAAAGCTGATGTAAAAATTAGTTTGCCTATTTCTAGATAATTATACGCTGTTAAACTCTCCTGAGACTAAGATTTCTGCTTCATATTCTTGTTTCAATTGATTGATCCATGCGCGCCAATTAAAATAAACTAGAAACTCTTGTACACTCGCTAGATTCAAGGCTATATATACTTACTATAAACAGTCAATTACTTTTATTTGAGTATGTTGTGCTCTAAGGAGTTCAGTTTAAGCGTCAAACATCGGCCATATTTTCATTGGGGCCGGGCAAGCTCAGTCGTTTAATTAAAGGGACAGGGCCAATATTCCTAGCGCGATAATTGGGGGTGCAGTATATTCATATACCGTATTTGTCTTCTCTTCTGCCCGACGCATTTCTTTTGAAAGCAATTGTTTTTACGGTAGCGAGCATGAATATATAAATATACCCCCCCCCCCATTATCGCGTCTAGGAACGGCCCTGTAAAGGGATATGTTCGGAAATAGCATGCATATAGAAATTAGATTCCCTTGTCTGAAAGAACTTTTAAAATGACGTGGAAACCATTTTAAAGCTTTTTTTTAAATCTCGCTTATTTCTCGACCTTAAGAAAAGCTTCTGTTGTGATGGAGCTAAACTGTGGAACTCATTACCTAAATGGGGCTAAATGCAATTGACGCTTATAATTTAAGTTTGTGTAATTGTCGAGGGTCGAGGGTCGTACGTCGAGGGTCGAAAACAAGTAAATTTTTATCCATTTTAAAAGTTTTACAACCATTTTGAAAGCTTCCAAACGCGGCAAAACAATTAGTTATTTAGTTCTGCTCTGAAAACTGAAAAATTTCGCCTATAGCTATAATCTCTGTATACTGAAAGTTTCGCTTGAGGAACTAAAAGTTTGATGCGAGGTTTGATGTTTGAAAGTATACGTATTTTAATACATTGGAATTTAAAATATACAAACATGCATGGGCGATGATCAGAGGCGATGATACAAAATTTGCGTTTCGCTCTCATGAGAAATTTGATTATAAGAGCTGTTTATATGGTCCCGCTAACCCGGGATTCAATGAAGTGTAACGTATTTTGATCGAGCAATTGAAATACGTGTTTCAGCCCTAAACAAAAGTTAGATAACTTTAAATATTTTTTAAACGAAATTAGGAATGCGCCAGAAGTTATGTAGTGGAAGAAGACGATTAATAGCATTCAACAACATTTGGTTTTTTGTTTAAGACATGGAATTTCATACAATTTGTAACGTGCAATTTTGTTAGATCATGAAGTGCGACTAATTTAAATTGCTCAAAATACGTCATGTTTCGTTACGTCACACAATAAATCCCGGGACCCGGGGAAGCGGGACCATGGCTTGGGACTTGGCATGGCGGCGACAGAGTTCTGAAATTGCTCAGAACTTCAACTTATAACGATACTTCCTATAGGATATGACATCGTGTTTACATGTCTGATATGTTGGATAATTTGCAGGAAAGTATGAGTAATAGACCAATTGCGAAACTTAGTGGCCGCGCCTTCATACTGCACGAGAACGAGGCTTATTATGCAAAAACAAAACAATTTCTATATTTTTATATAGCGAAAAGTGAATTTTAGGGTTTTTAAAGTGTTTTTTTCTTGAATCTCTTTGATCTTTTCTTAATATTTCGTGCTAGGTTATATAAATATTTGTTAAATTTATCTAAACATCGTTTCTCACTATATTTTTACCCGCTTTGGAGAAATATTTCGTTGTTGTTTTAGCATGCGATGGAACAAACATAAGGAAAAGATCAATCTAGACTTTAAAATCTGATCAAGATGCAAATAAAATAGCCAGTATAACTTAACAAACTAAAATATAACTCTTTCTACCCATATTTTTTTAGACTTGTGCGAGAAAAAAACGATTTTGTCAAAGGATAATAACATAAAATTTCTACAAATTTTGCCCGACATTTACTTTCATATTTTTAAAGTTAAAATCGAAAAAACTTGCTATTATATTACAACTGAAACAAAATTAATCAATGTTACAACTTATTTTTTGAAATGTACTAATAAAACAGACGGAAAATACCTGATTCTTTCTCTGGTATAATCTGCTTCTTTTATCGGACGGCGAAAAACAGCAAAACTTTGCCTCGCACGCCGCGAAAAACAATGAAATTTGAAGTAAGACTAAATCTATGAACAAGTTTAATAAAGATTTACATAATCAAAACAGAAATATTGAAAAAAAATGAAGAGATAACCATAAAAACGCGTCTCAAACACTGAAATTCATTTTTCGCCATATAAAAATATAGCAGAATGATTTGTTTTTGCATAATAAGCCTCGTTCTCGTGCAGTATGAAGGCGCGGTCACTAAGTTTCGCAATTGGTCTATATCTTCATTTTTTTGCAGTTTGTCTTGGATAATGTAGCTGCTTAAAATTAATCAATTTTCAGTATTTTAAGGGTATATTATTAAAATGATATATAAAGGCCGCATGATTTTAAAAAAAGAATGATTATTAGCAAATTAGTTTCTTAAAAGAGCAAGTCAACAAGGGGGAATTTCGTTCTCGACCAATCAGCGCTTTTGTTTACATTTTTGCCCTAAGCCAATCAGAATGCGTAAAACGCTTCATCACATGAAATTTGTAAACAAACATATGGGGTTACTTCAGAGCTTTTCTGCAAACGGTTTTTTGGTTTTTTGCCATGAAATTCATATATGTTGTTCTTAAAAGAATTCTCCTCAACTTCCTCGTGGCGATTTTTGATTAATTGCGTGATTGCGAAGATATGGGTCTTCAAACTTTGCCTTGCGCAAGCTTAAATACCACCCCTCGAATCTGTAGGTTCCGAACGGATTAGCGTTTTTAAAAGCCTTTCAAATCGAGGTTTGATTTTTTAAAAGATACTTTTATCTTCATATTTTCACATTAACTTATTAATATCCTGTGTAACAAGTAAACAGGACACTTTCGGGCTGGGACAAGTTGACATGTCGATTTCTTGCTAAACAGCGTGGCGATCAATATGGCGAATATCTAAATACAGGGAATTTTTAAAATTTGTTGGTATAAATGGGCTAAAGAAACTCATCAAATATTTGGACTATGGACCTTCAAACTTATGCCAAGTATTTATTTGATTGATTAGCTCAATAACTGTTTCTTGGCTCGTTGTTCGTCGATTTCCACATTTTGTTGACTTCAGGATAATGATTAATGGGTCAACATTGCGTGTTGCAGCCTGTGGACATGAATATTTTCGTTTGTTTGACCATAACACTTGTCTTCATTGATTTTAATCCTTGAATGACAATATATTCATTGGTCTCAGAGTCCTAAACTTAAGGAAGATGGATGACTTTGGGACAGATATCAAAATTTTGTTCAGATATCAAAATTTATGGACATATGTAGTCACAGTCACTCATAGCATAGTCATAGGACCCTCATTGTTTCTTCCTTAATCTGGCCCACTAGTCACAAATGGGGCCTGTTCTTATGACCTGGCTAGGCAGGAGACAACATTTGCCAGTGTTGCCGATATACTATCCTGCTACTATCCTGGCTAAGCACAAGGTATCCGTTGCCAGAATCCCAACTATACAAGCCAAGGAATTCACCATTTACAG